CCCCAAAACCCCAAAACCCCAAAACCCCATGAGGGAATATAGATTAGAGAAATCAATATTGATTAGTTTTTAAACTAAAAACTTTATTGTAATAATTATCGAATTGAATATTAATTATAAAATTAAGCAGATATTTAAAGATTTTAACGGATTTTTAAGGCATCTGATAATTAAAACATTGTCTGACTTTTCATTATAAATTATGGTGCAATTTGAAAATTTCACAGTTTCTAATTGTATTCTTTTTTTATCAATTAAGATTCGGTAATTTCTTTTTATTATTCTATATATCTTGGAGTTTCATATTATTCCTCATTGTATTAAAATCTAGTTTTCCTAATGGCCTGTTTTCTGCTTGGGTTAGTTTCTTATGAATGAGCTGCAGTACTCGATGTTTTGTATAGATTAAATTTGTATTATGATGCTACTTTCTATTTCATCATATCTGTTTGGCTCTACTTATTTTCATTATTTTGAAATTGATTTTGTTTAGTTCCTTAAAGATTTGGATTGTATGGCCGTATTTTTTCTTTTGAACTATATTGCTACATAGAATCATTTACTGAAGATTTTCTATTCGCTAATCTTTATTCTATTGCGTTTATTACATCTTCATAGGGCTCCTCCTAAGTACCTAGTAGCTTTTCCATTTTAGGACTAAAATATTTAATCTCTTAGCCAATTAATTAATCTAAGACTTTAATCTTTTTAATCTCATTTCCAGAGCTCTTAATTTTTTGAAGAGTTTCCTAATTCTTTGATACTTACTATGATTAATAATGCATTATCTATATAAAATATTATAGAAAAAACTTACGAGTTCACGATTAGCTTATTTTGACAGGGTACATTAATTGTCTTCTGTATATTTTCGTTTGGTTCGCAAGAATTAACTCTTTAAATTTAGGTTGACTAGCTGTTTCAAAAATATCTACTTGTTATTAATTTCTTCATTTACTTGCTTAATTTATGATTTAGTCTTAGTTTTGTCTTTTGAGTAAATTGAAAGTAATTTATCATCTTTAGAACTTTTAAATGAGATAGATTTACTTGGAGATTAATTTGAAGAAAAACATTTAAAAAAGGAATCAGTCTTAGTGATAGATTTTTTTTATTTGTCTAATTGCAAAGCTAGAGCTTTTTTCCTCATAACTGTCTCAACAATTACTGGAAAAGGGTCATAAAACTAAAATGAATTTGATAGCCTAAATATCATAAATTCCTCAGGGATCTTGAGGTTTTCAGTTCCCATCAACTTAATAGTTTTTGTCAAATTTATTTTGCTTAGCTTCATCTATTTCAAAAGGAACCTTAATTTTTAGTATTTGTTTTAATTTAAGACCATTCTCAAGAATTTTAGAGACTTTAATTTATGTATTTATCTCTTTATTGTTTTCATATTAAAAGTATTCTATAAAAACGATTCACTGTTATCTTCATCATTCTCATCAGTTATGGCAATTCCTAAAGTGTCTGCTCTTTGCAAGGGTGAAAGACTTAATTAATTAGCATAAATTTGCTTGTATGTAATATATATTGCTCTCAGAAATACCTCAAGAATAGATATTCTCTGCTTGCATGCCTCGTAAGAGACTTTCATTTTAACTCTCATCAATCGAAAACTCCCTAAAAAGTTAATATTAATTTGAAAAATTACTAATCTCTTCATAGGTTTAATTTATTATTTTTTCTGGAAATTCGCTTGGGCCTGCGTTCTCTAGAATCTACTTCTTTGTATTTGACTGTTAAGGACTATTGCAGAAATCAATTTCTTTCTCAGGATTAAAATTTATTGACGAATTCAGATTCAGATGAGTATCTCCTGGTAAAAAATATCCAAATCATGAATGACTAGAAGTATATTATGATAAAGCTAATTCTTCAAAGAATTTCTTACGATATCTTAAATCATTTTTACAAATTTTAAAAGACCCAATTTTATTTGTACTTCTAATCTCGTTTAAATCAGAGATAAATAATTCTTAGGCTTTGTTCATTTTTACCAAAATTAAAAGCACAGATAATAGCCACATTAGTTATGCCTAATCTTTAATAACTAAATCTAATGTTCTATTTTAAGTTTCTATACTAATGCATTCCCAGGCATAAAATGGATGCTTATTTTCATCACCATTCAGAATTATCTTTAGAATATTTTCCTTTTGCAGAAGAAAAGTTGTAATTTAACCTCCATAAATAATTCCTATCACATCTTTCAGAGCAACTATTAAAAGATGTTATCAATAAATAAATTTACTCTATTTTTTTAAAGGTGGTTTGTGGGACTTAAGATGATGATACTCCCAGCATAAAAAATTTAAATCTTCTGAAATCTTGATTATGCATGATCTTGTCTCTTTTGTTGCGTAATGATGTTTTACAGCTTTTATTCCATTTATTTGTAAATAAAGAAGCCCTTTTTTAGCTTCCTTCTCGAATTATTTTAAATGCTAGTTTTTCAAAGCATTAATATCAGTTACTTTCAATGAAAATTACCGCTATTGATCCACTTAAATATTTAGACATTTCTCCTTCTTATAATGACTCTCCTTTTAATTGGCTTTTTGTATGTTTAGAAAGTTTGCTTATGTTTTGAATGGACTTAAATTCTCCTCATCTGATGTGTCAGTAATCTTTATTTAATCACAATGTTCTAATTTAATCGTATTTTAGTTCTACTTTGAATAACGATTCTTTAATTTTATAGATCGAGGACTATCACCATTTATTTCAGGAGAAGAGGAACTCTTAAATATGTTTATATCTTAGTTTGAAAGATGTCTGAGTTTACTATGTGTTATGTCGAATTCCTTTTAAGTATCACTAAATCTAACCTTAGAGCGTTATTTTCCAGATTTTTTTTCATCGTTAAATGTCATCATAGAGGACTTTTATACTAATCTTGAACCTTTACTGTCATTCTAGCCATTAATATACTATCCTCTGTCAAATGATTCATTTGAATTATCGAAAGTAACAATTTAGATTTATAATTGTTATTGCATTTTATCAACTAATTTCCAAAGATTAAAAAATTTTAATTACCATTTTAATCACTTGATTTAACTGAAGGCGCCATTTTACCTTTCCCTTTCTATGAAGGAAAATTCTAATGCGAATCTGAACTTTTATTATTTTTCATTAAAATTAAATTTAATCTTATATTATCACCTTTATTTATTATTTAAATTTTGTTTTAAAAAACATAGCTAACTCACGGGGTTTTGGGGTTTTGGGGTTTTGGGG